AGGCCCTAATTGGGTTGTAGGCATCCTCCCCTCTACTGCTCTTAGGCGTTCTTCTAGTGCCACGAGTATATTCATACTTGGGTCTTCAATTACTCTAGGACCATGAGCTTCCTCTTCTGCAAGATCGACCGGAGGCATTTGTGGGACTCTCGGATCCATGGGATAAGCGAATATCTCAATAGGATATGAACCTTCGGCATGAACAGTTACGTGATTGAAAATTCCCGATCGATGATGTGATGGAATAGCATGCGGCACTTCGGATTATCTTTGATTCAAGCTACTTCCCCTCTTAATACTTGCTTTAACAGAGATGTCATTCGAGTCACACTCTCTTTCAGCCGAGTCAAACTCTTGTCGGCTAATTACGTTTTGTTGCGGTTTTTCCTCATTCTCCATTTGGCGAGCTCGAAGTCGAGTGTTGTAGACGTGCGGAGGGGATTGTTAAGCGGCCTATGTTTACTTCACTAGTGATACAAAAGAAATATGTACAAATAAATACTTAATGCAAATGCATAATTTTGAATTGGGTTGGATACCTTTCTTTATTTTGTTGCACATTAAATCATGACAGAATCCTATCGAGGATGGGTTAGACCGAGCTAGTACTCGCCGAGGGCAAAATTACCCTACAAATGCTTGGGCGATTAGGGAGATATGTATGCCCCCAATTTCAGTCGTGACTTGATTTTTGGAATGATGAAACCACTCTTGTTATAAGCACATGAAGGGCGAAACTTTTTCATAGTCTCGACATGAAATTTAAGGGCGGACAATCTCCTTCATCATTTCGGACCCGCTCAAATCGATCTAAAATCCTCGACCTTACTTTTGAATTCTTCGGTCATGATTTAATACGAAGGATAACCTTCATCGAGAATTATAAAAATACCATTGGAATACCAAGGGTCAATATTGACATCATTGATAATGATTCGTGTCTTAATTAAGTCAACCATAATAGACAAGATCTAGCTTTTTTATGGTTGGGCAAAGCTTGACTAGTCCTAAAGATTTTTCAAGTCTCTAGATCGCCTAAATTACTAGTGGGGTAATCCAGCCTTCCGGCCTTATACATTAGGAGGTAGGGGAATGTCATTCCACCATTTCCAATGTATAGGGTGAGTTTCGACCTAAACGAGAGTTTGAAAGAGCATCAATAGACTTTCATCATACTCGCCTCCAAATCTCTCTATCTAAATCCTATTAGGGTTTAGCTCGGGTCCGAGCTTTTAGAGGTTTCCTTCATGGTGTGTGCAACAGCTTAAAAGAAAAGGCGTACAACCCAATTCAAAAATAAACGTGCGGATAAAAAATTTAAATATACACACAAATAAATAAAAAAATTTAGAAAATAAAATGATAAAAATAAACATAGGAGATAAATTAAAAACTAAACCTATGGCCTAACTCGGTCTCCAATGGAGTCGCCATTCCGTCGCTACATGACGTCTGGACAGGACCCCCAAAGAAAGTTAAAGTCTAAGCGTTAATTATTTATAAAATTATTTATAAAGTTTTGGAGTCGCCACCTAGTATTTAAGGAACTAGGAACCTAAAAGTAGCATTGGTTCGTAGATTCTAAGGTAAGGAGTTGGTTAAGCTTTTAGGAAGATATTTAATCACCTAAAAGTGCCATTTTTTTAAAAAAGTACCATCTATGGTTTAGTTCTAAATTCATTTCCTAAAAATCCATATCAAGCTATTTTCTAATTTTTAAACTCCTATTTTTTAGACTAAATGAATTTTTTAAGTTTTAGACGTGACATCATATTGAAACGATCGTCGGTTCCCTTCGTCGGGTGACACGTCGATTCAAACATCGAATCCACTAAAAGCCTTGATACAACCGGCGTGTCGGAGGACATCCTAATTAAAAGGTGATTTTTTGATAATGTCGCCTCCTATCAAATAGGAGGCTTCGTCGAAAATTTTGAATTTGGTGACGTCGGTCCCTATTAGATAGGAGACTTCGTCGAATTTATTTATTATTATTTTTTGATGACGTCGGTCCCTACCATGTAGGAGGCTTCGCCAAAATTTTAGGTATTTTTGTTTGTGACGTTAGTCCCTATCGATAGGACGCTTCATCAAGATTTTTTTTTATTTTTCTAGCAATACATATTAAAGAAAAGAAAATAAAAAAAATTGAAATAGCAATTCTAAATTAATAAAAAAAAGAAAAGGAATAAAAATAAACAAGCTAAAAAATAAATGAATAATAAAAGAAAAAGGTAAAAATAAAAAAAATCATCCTATACCTAGACCATTAACCTACAACTTTTACTTTTTTTTTTTTTTTACCCATCCCCGTTTTTTCCTTCTTATTTTTTTTCCTAATTTTTTTTTATTTTTTTATTGCTCTTTTTCTTTTCTCTTTTTTTTTGAGTGAGGGACACGAGCTAGGCTAAATTCCAGCCTCGACCCCCTTTTTTATTTTGATGTAAAGGGTGCGAGCTGGATTGAAACCGATCCAGTCCAACTTGACTTACACGTATTTTTTTCTTTTTCTTTTTTTTGAGAGGAGCCGTGGGTTGGACCGAAAACGATCCAGCCCCTTTTGTTTTTTTTTTTTTTATTTTCCTGGGTCGGGCCGGACCTCAAGCCGTAAAACAAGGTCCACTTATTCTCGCTTTTTATTTTTCGGATCAAAATCAAAATTTTTCAAGCTTTTAAACCTTTCTCTCTCGTTGTTCTTCTCAAACTTCTTGTTCTCTCTCTATTTTCCTAGATTTTTTTCCGGGGATTAAAGATTTGTTCAAGATAAGTAACATACCCCGTTCATGTTCTTATCCAAACGAACACTAAATCCGAAGCTTAAGCGAATAGTTAGCAATTGTTTGTGACGAAATTTAATAGAATCAAAATCAAAAAATGAAAAAAGAAGAAAAAAAACGATTACCGACTTGGTGAGCTTAAATGGATGATTACCGTTCGAAAAAAACTTTCCTCGTGTCGTTGTTTTGGAAACAAGAAAGCTCGTGGAGTTGTCGATGGATTTTGGAAACTCGATTGAGTTCAAAATCGGAAGAGTAAGGTTCAACCGTGATGAACTTCAACACACAAAACCCGTAACGCTAAGAACATTCAAATGCTACCCGTAAAATCCGGTAGGAAAAAATCCAAAAATGTTAATTGAACTTCCAACCCGCAAACCGAAGTTAAATGATCGATGGTAGTTAAGTCGAACTCCGTGAAGATCAAACAATGGACTCGAGAAACAAAATTGAAAACCCCAATAATGATGAACACTAAGAACATGAAGAGCACTCAACCTAGAAACCCGTAAAACCCAATCGTTAAAAGATCGAAGATTTAGTTTTTTTTTTCCACCTTTCTTAACCCAAAGTTCCTCTCTAGAAAAAAATCCCCCTTTTCTTGTGAAATTAAACTCGTTTTATATCCAAAAACTCCCTAGAATCGAATCAAAATCCCCGAATTTTCCGTCAAAAATTTTCCTTTTAATTCATGATTAATGTGAAATTAAAACAGAAATTTTCATTGTTTCCTATTAGTATTGGTTTTGGCAACAAAATCCACGATTAATACACAATCAAAAACAAAAAATTCATGGAGGATTTGGGCGATTCTCCCAAAGATTTTCGGAGAGAATTTGCTCTTGGAGCAAACGACAGGTCGTCTTCTCCATTTCGGTTATGTCGTTTGCTCTAAACTTCTAATTTGGTCCTTGCGTTTCAATTTCAACAATTACGCCCCTCTCGCGAAATAATTTCAGCACAATCTCATCAATTAGGTCCCCGGAGGTGCAATTTAAGGCCTAAACTTTTTAATTGACTCGATTACACTCCTAATTACTTCAATTGCGTCCTAAATGAATTTTTTTTTATGTTTTTCATCATTTTCTTTCTTTTTTTCTTTTTTGTTTTTTAGTAAACTTTGAATTAAATAAAATAAAATAAATAAATAATAAAATAAACATAAATAAAAATAAAATAAAATAATAAAAAAAGAAGAAAATTTGGGTTATTACAAATACAAGAGTTTTTATAAAAAATTGACATTAACTATAAGGAGACATATTCTCCTATAATGGATGCAATTATATTTTTTTATCTCATTAGCTCGACAAAATATATTTCCTCTCATTTGTAATCACTCAATCTAATATCAACAAACAATATAGATAACAAATTATTTCTCTAACCGAGGAAGAAGAAGAAGAAGAAGAAGAAGAAGAATCGGAATCGAATTAACACCCTTTGTTTTATAAAATATGGGCCCAAAATGCCTTAAAGTTATGTATAGTATGGGATGAAAATTTTGAAAGAAAATATTAAAAGGATAAGATTTAAGAGTTAAGTGTTAAAAGGTGAAATATTAAAAAAATGTTTGATAGCATAGATAATAATGGATGTCAGTTAAGTAAAATAAAATTTTAAATTAAATAAAATTATGAAAATAATTAAATAATACATATTTGTGGTTCTAAAATCGAGATGCAAGTAAAAGAAGGAAAAAAAGAAAAAGAAAAAGAAAAAAAGATAGGAAAAGGCACAAAATTCATCAAAAGCTTTTTTGCCCCTCGAAGAATTATTTACACCCGACTAGCTAAGGTTAACATTTAACCCCCCTTTAGAGGTTAAATGTTAGCCTCTTTAAATCTTCACCTCCCCTAAAAAATGTACCAAAGATGGGTAAAAAAGATTATATATAAAAAAAAGGTAAGGATAAGATTTCAACTTCTTTGCCCTCGTACTAAACATATCCTAAAAATAAAAAATTAAGCTACAAAAATACGAAGCAAGAAGCTCCCAATAAAATCATTACTTTAATTAGCAAATATTAATGCGACCAAACCATTATCAGTTTGCTTTAAACATTTTCAACCATAATGATATCTACGTTACTCGGATTGTAAGCCAGTTTTTGGGCGATAGATGCCATGGCCTAAGCAAATATCATAGAATGATGGTCACAAATAGCACAACGAAAAAATCGACATAATTCCAATACTCATACAGGTTTCTCAAGTAAAGTTATTACCCAGATAGGACAGCCTGCTCCATCTTTTGGGCCATGAATTGGAGACAGTTGCCAATGCAAGAATTCAAATCTCCAAATCCCCACCCTTCAATTGGATCAACAAAGAATGACCACTCAATCTTGCACCCGTTTTGACCATCTCCATTGATTGGTAATACATTGGTGGTGGCCACATATGAATTGAATCCAATGTTATTTTCCGTGATCTCATAGCTTATACACCGCTCGATAGGATCGATCGTCAGTAGCTTCTCTTTGACCCAGCTGATTTTATGCTCTTCATGACTGCCATTCGATGCTAGTGGTGTGCTAGAAGCACAGTACCGAACTAGACCAGGCTGACCTAGCTCACCATCCAATTGTTAACATGTATCCACAGCTGGACTCCACTTGTGTATGTTACAGAAGTCCTCCAAGAAAGACCATACTTGGTCTGCTTATGGACCTTTTAGCTCAGCTGTGGCCTTGCCTTTCCATTTAGGCTGTGCTTCTTCTGCCATGAGAGGAAGGAAGCGTGTTAGTTTTTGAAGAGAGTGGTGCTTGGTGAATATAAACAGGGAGCATCACAATTTTTATGCTAGCATTGAAAACGTTGGCCATTTTGGTACACACAACGAAATATTGACGTTTCGCTGATTTGTATGGCTCGAAATTTAGCATCGAACATCATGTTTCCTGTTTTAGACAAAAGCGACTGCCACTGAACACATTTACCAAAACCATAAGGTGCTAGTCGCAATATCATTGTCTAGTGGATTCCGGAAAAAAAAAAAAAACGATTTTGGCATATTGTCAGTTTTTATTCAGGTTCTTACATACTTAAAATCTATATCTTGCTACTAGTCGACATGACATGCGATTGTAGCATCACAAATTAAGAGTTATATGGTTGTTTATAAGAGGAGATACCATGGGCCTATGATATATATATATATATATATATATATATATATATCAAGCGATATAAATTAATAAAAATTTCAGGCAATAAAGCAGGAAAAAGAGTCAAAAGGTGCATCAAATTCCAAATTATTCCAAACCTTTCAACTGCATCCTCCATTCTCTTGGCCATTTGTTGGAGTCCTACTTCATACTTTCTTACCAACTCATGCAATACCAACCCTGCCACAGGATCAACAATGAATGACCATTCGATCACACACCCATCTTGGCCATCACCACCCTGTGGAACAACCTTGACCGTCGAAACATATGACTTGAACCCAATATTGCCGTCAACTATCTCATAACTCAAACTATGTTCAACATGATTAACGGCTGTTAATCTCTCAATGGACCAGCTAACAGGCTGATTGGTGTCATTGGGTGGGATTGAGAAGCCAGCACAGTATCTTATGCAACCTGGCTCGCCATTAGTCCCGTTAATACCATAGCAGGTGGAAAGGCTAGGAAACCATTTGCGGAAATTAAAGAAGTCGTTGAGGAGAGGCCATATTTGATCTGCTGTGGCTTTTGCTAGCCTTGTTGAGACATTGCCTTCCCATTTTGGCTGTGAATTTTGCTCCATTAGAGGGATAATCAGAGAACAGTCCAAAACTTTTCTTGGAGATGACTTTATGGACACTGGACAGCTGGGGCATCAGTATTTCTAACGTGGCAGGCACCATGTATTACATTGATGCTTCATTAAAGGGAAAATAATATATTCCAATTGTTACAAAAATAAGCAGGGGAATCCTAAGTGGGCACGAGTGAAATTGGCAATTAAGCCAACTAGTTTACACATTCGAAAAATAATCAGTGCAATCTTATGTGATTTTGCCAAATAAGCTAACTAGTTTACATATTCCAATGCTTCAAACGTCAGAGAAACAGAAGAAAAAATAAGATAATTTTAATTCTTTGAATCTCATATTTTGAAATTGAAATAAATATTCCAAATATTATTTAGTAATTAATCACAGTATATAAAATAATATTTTATTTTATTTTATTTTATTTTAGTGGGAGACTTTTTAATACCTGTAGCAAATTAATGCTTGGCCACTCTACTGGTTTCTAATCAAAGTTAGTCATATAACTGTTTAAGATAAAATGCTTGTTAGCCTAACCAACCACATAATAATGAAAGTTCCAATAAATAAAAATAACACAATAAGTAACTAGGCATTAATTAAGTTTCTAAGAAGAGATTCTAAATTGACAAATCCCATTCCAAATTATAGAAGAGAAAGAGCACTAATTATATTTTATTATAAATCTACAAGTGCCTCTTCCAATTCTCTAGGCTATGGGTAGTGATAGGGATAGACTCGTCGTTCTTATGTCTATATAATTGCTTATTTCATAAATTGACAGAGATGACTTCAATTATATTCATCTTCTTTTAATCACCTTAGCTCATGGCATGTAGAGACCTATTTTCTTACCTTTAATAACATTCAAATACCCTTTGGAGAGCTTCTTACTACCATCTCTAAAACCTTCTCTATCAAGTGTACTCGTAGAGAGTAAGCACATAATGGGCATATATATACCTAGAATCCTTAAGTTGTAACTTGCACTTGTTATTAGTTTCTAACCAAATATTTTTAGCTCATGGCATGTAGAGACCTATCTTCTTGCCTTTAGTAACATTCAAATACCCTTTGGAGAGTTTCTTGCTACCATCTCTAAAGCCTTCTCTATCAAGTGTACTCTCGCAGAGTAAGCACATAATGGGCATATATATACCTAGAATCCTTAAGTTGTAACTTGCACTTGTTATTAGTTTCTAACCAAATATTTTTAATACTCACAAGACTAGCCATTCCTTGATTTTTTATCTTAACTTAAGCAAAGTCTCGATTAGTATGGGATGTTAAGAAACCATGTTTAGGGTCCAACATGATAAACAACACTTGAAAATGCAATTCGGATGGTATCCCGAAAAGCAAGATTTACATAATTATCATCATAAATAATAGCAACATACCATCATAAACAATTATAGCTATACCATTCTCTTTATTCTTGTATTCATACCTCTCTTGTACTTTTTAAAATCTCTTTAGATGTATAGGTTTGTCATAATGATAATATTCTATTCTCTTTCTTGATTGAGTTCTCTCTCTAGACTTCTATATGTCTTTTCTATCATTGGATTCCTTATCATGCTTATTGTGAGAAGATCTACTTTGACTTCTCAATAACAAGTAAATGGGACTATGATGCGCTTGACCTTTTTATCATTTTTTCTTCATTAAGAATATTATCCTTTGGTAGCTTTAAAATGAGCTTCCTATTCGAAGCATAGTTACTAAATCACACCATCAAAATCTCATAACTATCTAACAATAAACTCAATAGGATTAATACTCCTAGCCCATCGACTAACTCAAGGTTCATCAATAAAAACCGATTCGTAAATTCTTAGAAGTCATTTTTGTGCATTGAAATATTTTCACCCTTTGTACTTCAAGTTTATAAGGTCTCCGATCGTGAAAGTCTTCTTTTGTGCACTCTTTTTAACAAAAGTTTCTTTTAGTAACTATCACATTTTATAGGAATAACATTTTTGAGAAATATGATTTATGGACTTAGAAGATATCTCTTTTCTAACAATAGTTGTAACTTTTTCAATCACTAACTTTTATTTCACCTCTTCCATATCAAAATGCTTCTATCCTTTACACTCAAACAACAAAGTCAAATTGTTTTCATAAAGGTAATAAAGAAATGAGCTTTATAATTAGAAGAAAAGGAGCTTATCATGCTATCACCGTCTTCCATACGATATAATTGGAAGAAACGAGCTTTATCATGGCCGAATCTTCCTTCCCAATTTAACAGTAAAAAAAAAAAAAATTGTACATGACTTAAAAGTCTAATACCATTACTCTCTTGGAAAAAGACACATATAGAAGTATTTTTCCCAGCTCAATTAGAAGATATCCATCAAATCATTAAAGTCATCATCTCAAAGGATGAATTTTAACAACAACAACAATAAAGAAAAAGATTGTATCTAACCAAAAAGATTTTTATGAAATACATAAAGATAGAAGATTCCGAACATGCTAAGATTGTTTAAATTGAAGAGCTCACCATCAAGAATAATATGTCAAAATTTTATCTAATCGAGTTTGAAATCACCATCCGATCAAAACAATAACGATGAAGAGTTTTCTCTCTCGAAAAAAACTCCTTTTCTTTTTGTTATTGTACGACCGATACACTAATAAATAAGCCAATAATTTGACTTGTATATATTTTTAATCACTTGACTTATCTTTATTTTTCTCTTTTGTTTTTTGTTTTCCCCCCTTATTTATATGCATTTTGTGCTTCATACGAAAAGGAATCCAACCCAATAATATATTATTTGAAATAATAAATAAAATTGATTAGTTAAAAATTTTAATTGAGTGACAAAATAATTTTATACAAAAAGTTAAAGAAATACATGAAGAAGAAATGGCATGTTAAATAAAATTATACTTCATAAATAAATTCAAACATTTTGAACCCTTACAAATATATCTATAATTTCAAAAATCCTAAAGGTAATTTAACCTTTTCAAAAATTAAATACCGTAAATGAATTTAACAAAATAAAGAAGAAGAAATGGCATGTTAAATAAAATAACGATTGCTATCGTAGATAAATATGATGATGGAAACATTGAGGTGTTAAAAACTAGATATATATAAAAAAAAACATTATTGAAAGGAGAAATTTTTCAACAAGAGATTATTGAAAATATCAAAATTATATGTCTTATCTTCGAAGAAGTAACTCGAAATACATAATGAAAATTGTTATATTCCAATTTTGCTCATTTTAAAATTTTAATTGTTATTTTTTTTAGTTTCGGTACTTTTGTTCTTCAGTTCATTTTTTGCTCTTATTCAAACTAAAAAGAAAAAAAATCAACAAAAAAATTAAGGAAATTAGACAATCAACATTTTTTTTTTTTGCTTGGAACTTAGTACAAAATTACCAAAATAATAATAATAATAATAATACAAAAAAAATAGAAAAACAAAAACAAAGATGAAGGGACAAATCCTCTTCATCTTTTGAGCATTTTTCTCCGCTACCATGGACAATCCCCCCAATCCAACTTGAAATTCTAGTAATAGCTTGTCCAGTAACCCTCACCATGCTCGTAACTTGTAGCCCACAATCTTTCCCTCCAAGTCATCAATTACAACCTTCCTCACCATGCTGCAACTTATAGCTTATAATCCCTCATACCCCAATTGTCAACTCCCCACAATCTTGTTATCACCGTCCACCCATCACCTTAAAACCTGTCGAGCCATTCCTTACTCGTTGCCATTGTCAACTCTCTATAATCCTCGTCGCCACTATCTACCCATCACCCTAAAACCTGTCTAGGCACACCCTATTGTAATTTGCCATTTCCCGCACAGATCACCTTAATGTCCAACTCAACCCATACCTTACTCGTAATAATCCCACACCATCAAGCGGAGGGAAACCAACTAATACAATTCACATATAAATAGCAACAACGGACATAGAACAAGAGGAAGTGGGTTAGTTCTTCAAAAATTGAGAAAAAAATTAAAGGACAATAATAATAGGAGTTAGTATTAAAAAAATAGAAAATCAAAGAAAAACACGAAGTAATCACAAATAAAATTGACGTTAGTTAATGGAATTGAAAGACAATTACAAAAAAAAAAAGAAAAAAAAAAGGGAAGAGATTTTATTGAATTTTGTTAGAGCTATAGTAATCTAATTGAGGATTTTCTTCATCCTCAATTTGATTCTCCTGGAGGTAATCCACCCTTCATCCTCTTCAATGTAATTCTTTGTTTTGAGAGTTGATGGTAGTAATGTTCATCACCGCCATCCATGCATTTCCTTACCACACACACACACACACACACATTTGTATTTGTTTAACTCGAATAGAGGGTTTGAATTTGGAATTTAAATTAAATTTTTTAGGAATTTAGGATTCTTGATAGTTAAGGTTTTAGAATTTGGGTATTTTTGTTTTGGATTGAAATTGAGGCCGAGTAATGAAAAGAAAGGCTAAAGGAACTTAATTGGAGTTTTAATTTAGGGTTTAAACCTTGAATTGAACTCCGAATTGGACTAGATTGAATCCTAGGGTTTATGAGATCATCAATAATAATAAAAATTAGGGGTTTTTAAAAATAATGACTTAATTAAGTTTGAACCGGCTTGATCACAAGAGAAATCAAGCCAATTAAGACAAATTGAAAGAAAGAATTAAAAAAAATCTAGAAACTTAGGGTTGGCCATTTTTGTGAAAAAATTCTAAAAAAAATGAAATGGGGGTTTTTGATTAAAGAGGGAAAGAAACTTGAGAATGAAAAGGAGGGAAGACCGAGGAGGAGAAGGAGAGAACAAACCAGAATTTCTAGTTCTCTCTCCATAATAGATTTGAAAGAAAACAAGAAAAAGAGGAAGAAGAGGAAAGAAAAAAGGAGGAAGGGAATGGAAGAGAAAAGGAAAGAAAGAAGGAGGAGGAGAAAAGAGGAAGAAGGATGAAATAATTCTAGTTCATCCATGAAGTTTGGATAGAG